GGAATGTACATGTGGAAACGTAGACACAATGAAAATGTTATTTTATTCTCCATGCACATGCATACATATGTACATATGTATGTATTGTTAGTATATGGAAATCTTTTTTGCATGCATAAATGCATTTCGACTTTACAGTGGTCAAACCTCAGCTTAGCCACACACGAATTCTGGTCTTCATATAAACTTCCATTTATTAAATAAAATATTGCCGTCTGAACCACATCGATTAATTTTTGTGCTGTGTCTTCATCCAGATCTTGGATAATATATTAATATTTTAGGCACTGTGCTTATCTTCACACTGGTTCCAACGTAGTCCTTATAATTATGTCCCAAAAATCTTCAATGGCGAGGGATCCAGTGATTTATGGAGTTATATACAGTTAGAATTTTCAAAAAATCGAGCTTTTATATTATATTTTTTTAATGCTATGTACATATCTTTAGGAATACTCACAGAAAATTTCATAGTGTTCCGGTGAATATTTTCGAAATTACACGCAAATTTGAAAAAACGTTTTAGAATGCCTGGAAGTGAATTCCCAACTTTAAAGGCATTTTTATCAAAGTCGGTGACATTACTTGAAAACGGCTAAATCGATTAGTCTTAAATTTTAACACGAGCTTTTAAATTTTTTTTTTTTCGAAATCAATGGAAGATATTTTTCACCGATTGTTTTATATTTGTTTATATACTATACAATCGAAGGCCGAAATTTTATTTTGCTCATTCTTCCAATTAATTACTAGACTGAAAATTACTTTAACTGTTACACTGTTTGTGTGTTTTTTTTTTTTTCAGAGGATTCAGTTCAGAAATCACGAATATCAGCTGTTCCGAATAAATAAGAAGATACCGTAATATTTTTGAATCAAGCAATTTAATCGTTTTCTCATAAAAATTTTGGAAAATTGGCTTTTTTCGGCCTTCTAAATGTATATAACACCTTATTCTGTGGTATGGAGCAAGAAGAGAAAATTCTTTTAATTATTTTTCTAAGTTTTAGTTTATGAAACTTCATCTTATATCATTACAGATTCGTCACCTAAATTACTTCTAGCATCCATGAAAACAGTCTCCCATTTCACCAATATTATGTTATCAAAACTGCTATTCATAATCAGGCTCATTTAAAATTTTGTTTCGTCAGTAATCATCATCAGTACAGCTCAAGAGCTCATTCCCATATTTAAGTCTGAGTTTTATTCTAATCGAAACATATAACTTTACACAAAATTTGTATACTGTACGAATATTATTGTTTGTTCACACTACTATATGCTTCAAGATGAAACTTCGGGTTATTCGAAAAAACTACAAACAGTAAAGTATTTGATCAAAATGTGTTTTATGCTTTCCATTTATAAAAAATGTTTGCAAAATAGTCATCATTTTATTTAAACAAGCACTACAGTGATATCAAAATTGTTGTTTTTAACTAGATCAACTTGGATGAGTCATTGCAAATGTGTGGCCATCTATACAGACAAAACAGATGTACCATATACATACATACGTAAATATAATATTTCCGCGAACCATTAGTCATTTCTTAATGATGCTTACTTCCATGGTTATAATTTCAACATTTTCACGAGTACTCACGAAATATGTATCTGATAATAAGAATGATAATAAGAATTATTCGGTTTTTATATTGGAGTTTTTAACCAAAATTTTATAGGGAACATTAATGAACACCACAGATATTACAGAAGCATCGCTGGTTCGAATTTCCAGGCGAGAAAAAACAAAATGACATATTTCATGTGAAGTAAAGCCTTTATTGAATGGATCTTTGATAAAGAGCGCCACTGCTGAATCGAGGGCTATAATGAAAATATGCATATATTGTTGACATCTTTTTTATTTCCCAACTGGTCGTTCGTGAGTTATCGTTAAATTGTCATATACCCAAAAACAAAAGAAATCTCCAGCACAATATTTGGTTCAACGAACTGGCGCTTTCACGCATTCCACTATTCTGATCAAATTGAAAGGTGAATTTTTAATTTATACTTCGCGTGTTTTTTTAATCGGTACATTTTTCTGTAAGTTGGTAGATAAAAGTGAATTCTTCGATTTTTACTATGTCTGGATTTATCGAACAAAGATATGCGATAATGCACTATCTCATACTGAATTTTTTATTCGTGATCATTTCGCCACACCTTCGTGTAACTTCTGGCTATTCAACAAATTCAAGTAACCACTCCGAGAATAGCATTTTGACTCAATTGAAGATATAAAAGCTGAATCGAAGAAGGCTCTGATGGCCATCACGACGGAGGATTTTTCCAAGTGCTATGATGACTGGAAAATTCGTTGGCATAAGTGTATTGCAGCGGGAGGGGATTACTTTGAAGGAGATGAAATGGCCAAAGTGTTCTGTCCTGTGCTGATGGAGCCAATTCTCATTTAGACGATTTATATCGAGCTAGCATTGACTTCAAACGGTATGGATTGATGAATAACTTCGTCATGAACAAAATCTCCGTTAAAGGTGATTTCAGCCGTACATATATCTGATGATCTAAAGTGCATTGCAAGTTTACGCACTTAAACTCGAATTTTAGAAATAGGCTGTTAGTCTTTGGATGGTATATATAGTTTCACAGCTATTTCTCCAGCAATTTCGAATATTCCAATTCATTTCTCATATAATGAAAGTAATTGTCGAATAACCCCCACTAAGCAAGTGAAGATAAAATATTCTACTCACACACCCACAAAAACTAACAAATTACCAAAAAAAAAACATGGCCGAAAGCAAGCAAGAAGTACAAGCTGGCGGGACGCCAATAGTTTCACTTTCTTGTTTCCCTCACCAACAGTGGGCCATGTGGCGGATTCCTCGCAAATATTCCGACCAAAAAAAATTCGCATATACCGAAAATAACAGACTGTACACATATATTTATGTATATACAGAAAATTGATTTCTCGTGCACGTATATTTAACGCTTGCGTGTCAAATTCGATACTGCATACGGAAATTTTCTAATTATTCATTTAGAAAGCTATCAGCGGTGCCATCATTGCCGCCTATCACAACCTGTTGCTTGCCGCCACTGCTCTGAGGTGTGCACACATGAAATGGGCAATTATTTTGACATACCTAATAAAGCGAGCACCCCGCAGAAGGTATGCGAAATGAATTTTACATTTTTTGCATTAACATTGACCTAATCGACAATATTTAGCTCCTGCTGATTTTCAACGTGTACAATAAATGTGCTAATTCTTTAACAGGCATTGTCTATTAGTGCATATGCTCACTAAGGGAAAGGCATTGGCCTTTGAGATTTTCGAAGTGCTTTGAAGTAAGCTATATAAGTGGGGCGAGAACGTTGCGTGTTATTGAGAGTGAAGTCTGGAGGTTTAATTGTTTAGAACAATTCCACCGTGCAGATACTTGGGGAGAAATTAAAGTGGTTGGTTTCTAAGTAAAGTATAAATTCCTTTTCATTAAAAGGTCGTAAAATACATTTGGTGATTTGTTTAACAATCGAGCGATTGTACCCAGAGCAGATTCCATTTTTTGAATGATGAAAAAACTATAAAAACCGTATTAGAAATCAGTTGTTGCATTGTTTTCGTTCATTATTAGTACATACAATATAATAAACTTTCCAAATTGTAATTTTCGCAAATAAGCTTCTCATTTAACTTTTTTTGAAATTTTTGAAGATTTTTTTAAAAGTTTTTTGGATAAATCGACGAACTCATTTGCAATTTCCAATAATAATATGAAATTGGCCGACTCATTTGTTTTATGCAAAAACTTGATTAAAATACTTTGAAACTTTCAGAAACCATAAATAACCAGTAAGGAAGGGCTATCACCGGAACACAGCCTGTACATTTATACTCTTGCAACCAAATCGAATCAAAGCCCTTAAGATGTAAAACATCAACCAGAGAATCGGAATCCAAGCACTATATATACATATAGAACTCATACACTAGGCAACATATTTCAATTGCATACTCCATACATTTGGCGACTTTTTAGACTTTTTTACACAGCTCTTTGAAAAAAATTTCTTCAAGACTTTGGCGAAGGATTTGTTTCAATTACAATATTAAGTGAAAAAAACGCGAAATTTTCACTGAAATGTTTATTTGTTTTGTAAAGATCTCTTCAAAAGTTAAGGTATTAACTGAAATACAGTGAAATACATATAAAGTGGAAAAAATACTTTCGATGATTCTAAGTAAGAATTTATCCTGCCAACGCGGGCGCTGTTTTTCCGAAGGGTCACCGGTAATGGCTGCGTAATGGCCAAGTCTACAAGAAAATATGTTTTTCCAAAAATTTTAGCATTTCTTGGTTAATAGTGTAGTCTGTAACAGTAAAAAATTCTACAAAATATTTAATTTTTATTGGAGAAAAAACTGTCCCAGAAAAATAATACTTTACATGCGTTTTTCTTGGCTCGTCAATAATGTCATAGTAACTGTAGAAATATGGTTTGAGAGAGGCGAAGGTGAATGACAAAGGCAAGGCAGATTAAAACCGGCTGCTAGCCCAACGGAAGTCTCCAACAACAAAGAATGCGTGACTGCAAGAGCATTGACTCGCACAAAAATCGAACACAAACATATGACTCATACATGCACTTGTACACACACATACAGCTAACTTCAAATAAAATGTATTGCAACCTTACACCACGTTGGCAACGCGGCAAACGGTGCAATGAATATTTTCACAACTCTTTCAAACACACCTTAAAGCTTTTTAACATATATGTACATACATATATACATATACACATATACAAGAGTATGTGAGAGTGTTTGCAAATGCATAATGTGCCTGCATTGACAATAAACTTAAGTGAACTTGGCGATAAGTAATTAACTACCGATCTATTGACAGCGCTCGTGTAATTAGTGCGATAGTTCGGCAAGCAGATATAATCACAAACAATAAATATTTGTTTACTCGGCATTTAAATATGAAATGTTCTTGTTTCTCATTACTTTACAGCTAAATTCCCAGTGACTAGAACTTTGAGGCATTTTTGGCAAAAAGGAGGAAACGTAATATTTTAAAATGTATCCATTCGTAAGTAATTCAACTTTTTCTAATTTTTCAAATTTTTTTATCGTTTAAATGCTCTGAATTTGCATCGTGCTTACTAACTTAAACTTTAAGTGCTGCTTATCTATATAATTGTACGTATATATGTATATGTATATATGTATACCATATACGCATATCGTAAATCTTATATGCACAAAAGTACTAAAGTATTTTGTTACAAAAAAATAATAATAATTTCCAAACAGCATTGAAATGCAATTGTATATATTTATATATATGTATATATATATGTACATATGCATACATAACATATAATTCTGCGGTATTGCAGACATAATTATACATACACGCACATCCTCACTTTGGCGCAAACAAAATTCCTAGCATTATTGAAATTAAAACCGCATCCAGCATATTTTGAAAATAATGTTGTTGTAATCTATGTATATACTCCAGCTTATGTACATATGTACAGCTGTGCATATATTTTATTATCGTTAAATTGGTGTGGATTGGTAAGTGGCATTTGGTTCCCCCTTCACTTTAATCGTCTAATAATTCTAGATCAGAACTCTGAAAAATAAATCGAAATTTTTTGGCTATATTTCCCCCAAAAAACGTTTCAAAATTCAAATTATTAGTTATAGTAATTGAGATTCATTTGAAGTTCCAAAAAGTACTGTTAACAATATGTTTAGGCCTTAAATAACAACTTTCACTTATTGTCCTTTTGTGGCACCAAGAAAACTAAACATTAATAAATTCGTGTTGTTTCTATGACAGAAAGAAGCTGAATTACATCCATATGTTTTGTGGTTGGACTTAACCTACAAAATGTAAGCGTTTAAAATACACGGAATCGAACAGGTTTAAATTCGAAAATGCTGCCGATAATGAAAAGTGGCTGACGAAGCAGCCTTTCGTCAGTGATTTGCTTTAACCCGCATAGGCTTAATGACTTGGCTTCATTAGTAGTGAACCAACGGAGAAGAACATTCGAAAACACCAAAACACATAAATATTTCACGTGAACATAAAGAAAGTCACACGTGATAACTGACACCCTACAGCTATCAAAAGCATACTGCCAGCGATATATTTATAAAACCATTTTCGTTTGCTATTATTTATTATTTTTTCGATGAAATATTTAATTTAATTAATATTATGATTAATTTTTGAAAAAAAAAATAAATTACGCAAGTTTTCTCAAACATAATTTAAATAAGCCGAACGAAATAATTATAAAACCACTTTGATTATGCATTATATTTCTAATATTTAAGAGAAAAATAAAATGTTTAATAAGATGCTTGACCTCCATTATTAGCAATAACTTCTTCCAATCGTCGGGCATAGACTTAATTAAATAATGGATAACGGTTTGATCAATTGTTTCCCATTATTCAATGATGGCATTTCTTAGACATTTTAAGTTATCAAATTGACGTCCCTTTTCGAAAACCTTGGCTGATAGCACGGACCGAAGGTTTTCTTTACGATTTCGAGAAAAATTAAAAAAAAAATAATAATGAAATTAAATAGCTAATTAAATTACTTATGAAGTAATAATTAATAACTCACATGTAGTCTTATTTGTCAAAACTAAAATAACAATGGAATCAAATAAGCGCCCTCTGGCTTTATAAATATAACGGTTCTTGTTAAATATTCACCGCCTACTCTGATCAAAATATTAAATGAATATGAAATAATTCAAATGTCATCCCGTAAATTTAAAATGCAGAATCTGTGGACGCTTACACCAATTTTTCTAAGAACAATATGAAATTTGACGGTGGCTTTATATATATTTCGGTGGGTGTATGAATAAAAAATTGGGCATGCGACGATTTTACCGAAAGTGTGAGCGGCGCGAATTCTGAATTGATTCAAAACAATGAAAAAATGCTTCGAAAAGTTTTAGCAATCATTCTTTTCACCGGACGCAAAATTCTTCTTCTTTTCATTGGTGTAGATACCGCTTACGAAATTATAGCCGATTTTACATAACCTCAGACGTAAAAAATCAGTGGAAAAACAATTTTGGCTTGAATGAAAAAGCTATCGATGAGAAAGAGCCAAAGTATTGCTTAGCAAAATACCAAAGGTCTTCCTTATGATCCGTGTATCGGCCTCAATAGCCCTGTAACGAATTTAAAAATCAAATTTTGTAAGAAAAAACATTTTTTTTTTTTTCAAAATATTACGAATTTTCTAATCCACCGGTTAGATATGTATATACATACATCAAGTCCTTTGCCACTTCCCGCTACACTTGTTTAAAACGGTTCTAATTTAATGTACATAGCCCTGTATATAAGAATATTTTCACTAAGTACAACTAAAGTACAGAAACCGCTTAAAGTAGTATTAAAGCACCATCAAATTCAGTAAAGCATTGCCGCTTACCAGCGCAGCGGTTCAACTGTTTTTCATAGAATAATTCATACATTTTTTGTAGGGTTCCGGCATGCCACAACCCAAATCCAATACACCATATAACAATAGTTACAACCAGCCCAATCCGGGGGCGCCTGTTGGCGTGCCATTCGGCGCTGGTTGGATAGCGCCCCCACAACACCCCACACAACACTCTTCGCCACAACATTTGCCGCAGCAAAATAGCTTACACTATCAGCCACTGTCTCCACATCATCAGACTCCTTACCCACCCGCCAACAATATCCCACATACTCCTCAGCATCATGCGCCCTATCCACCAATTAATACGTCATCTAATGCACCCTATCCGGGTTCATCATACCCACATAATCCCCAACATGCACAAGCGCCATATCCGTTCGCTGCGGGATCACCAACATACGGCACTATGGGCGGCAGCGCACACTCTCCGCATTACACGCATCCGCCGACGCATCCATCTTACGCGCCTACACATGGATATACACCGGTGCCGACGTCGGTCGGTTATGAATCGCCAGCTGGCAATATTGCCCATTGCTTCCAAGAATTGGCCCACCTGAAAGGCCACATGCAGCACCATCAGCAGCCGTTTGCCCGAAGAGAGGTTTGTGTTCGTAGTGCTACATCGTTATACATATGTATAAAGTAAAAACAAAAGGCTTCTGCATAAAGACCTCGATATCAGTATTATTTATAATAACTTCTTGGCTAGTCACCTTTTGGAAATAAGTAACTTGAAGTTGACGAATCGTACAACCAACTGGTATAAATCAAAAGAACTCGCATAATCACATAGGGGTAAATTTGAAAGCGGTTATACGCTTTACTGATTTATCCGGGAATATATTTACATTTATATGTGTGCACTTTTCGAAAAAGAAATACTACTTCAGTATTTATCTATACCCATATCAGGGTATATTAAGTGTTCCTATCCTATAAAGCATGAGCTGAGTCGATTTAGCCATATCCGTCTGTATATACAGGAACTAGTTTCTTTTTGTATTATCGATCTGAAATATTGCACGTGTTCTTTTTCCCCCCAAGAAGCTGCTCGTTTGTCAAAACCATCCATATCGGACATACATAGCATATAGCTGTCATACAAACTGACCGATCAAACTCAAATCCTTGTATAGACATCTTATGACAAGGTATCTATTATGACAAGGTATCTATTGACAAGGTATCTTTACGAAATCAAAGCAATACTATATTTTCCGCACAAATTGTTTAGATCGGATCACAATATCATATAACTACCATACAAACTGTCCTACCAAAATCAAAATAAAGTTATTTTTATGCTATATGATGCTATAAGAAATGCACCTATGAAGGGTATTATGGCTTCGGCGCAACCGAATTTATCTTTTAATTATTCTTTTAATAGCATTAATTCCTTATGTATTTTTTGAGCCTTTGAAATCTTTAACTTTTTATTCGAGCCGCTTGCTGTTTGATTACGTCAGTCCGTTATATTTGTGCCCATAGTGTGTTCGATTCGCCACTTTCAAAATTTAGTCTGTTTTAATTTAATAATACTAAACTATGCATTTTCAATATCGAAGAGTAATAAGCTTGCTATATACGTAAATACCCATGCACAAACATATTTTAGCATCTAATTTTACTTCCTTGAGCACGAGCCTTGGTGCGTCGTCAAATTCTTGCTATGAGACATATTTCGAAAAGTTATGCGAATGAAAAAAATTGCATTTTGATAGCTCAAGTAGCGCTTAGATAAATTAACAAAACTTTTTATGTTTTATGCGTTACTTCTCGTTTATTGTTAGTTTTAGACTGCCTGCTTTAACTTAAATCAAATCTAAGCTAAGTTCAATTGCTGATAGCGCTGGCATCGACAAAGCTGAAGCGAAAACTGCTGAGCGCAAGTTCTGTAGAATTCGGCAACGGCGGAAGTGAACGCTGTGAATATAATTTTCTGTAGGAAGTCGTGCAGATGCAAAATCAGCATTTCTTGAAATTGGATAGTTTTGTTGTCAACTGATGTATTCACATAAATATATTTTATTATTTATTTTTTAAGCTAAAATTGCTTCATATTCATATATGTATAATAATTAAAAAGTATCGCATCATATACAATATACTTGTTATCGATTTCAGGGCACACCGACTGTACTCCCTGCACAGGGATTCGATCCGGTCAAAGATGCCCATGATTTGCGCAAAGCCATGAAAGGTTTTGGAACCGATGAAGATGCTTTAATTAACATCATTTGCCGCCGTACCAATGAGCAGAGACAGGTAAGCTCTAAAATATAGTCTTCGAATCTTAATTAAGTAAGGGGGGAACCTGCTTTGGAGGCCAATAAAATATATATTTTTTTGAAGGTTTTTTTGGGAGGGAAGGAATAATTGATTAAAGCGAAATTTCTAGGGTTTATTGTTATATTACGTTGTCAAAAAAGGCTTGCCAATAAAAATAGATTTTCAATTTTTCATAAATTTTTTTTTTTTGATGACTCATGATCAGCTCTTGACCGATGCTACGGCTTATACTATGCCGGTCTCTTTCGACCAATTCAGCGATTTTATCGGAATTTTCGACGACAGGTCTTACGGAGCGTGGCGCATCTTCGACCACCTCTACACCAGAACGAAAACGTTGAAACCATCTTTGTGCGGTGGAAATGGAAACTGTATCGGGTCCATAAACTGCACAAATTTTATTGGCGGCTTGAGATGCATTTTTACCTTTATAGTAGTAGTACTATAAAATATGCCGTATTTTCTCTTTAGTTTGCTCCATGTGTGCGATGATATAACTCACGAACGACTTAAAAGAAACGACAATCAATCAAACACGCGTTAGCGCGTGAAATGAGCTTTCCAAAAAGGTATAGCATGACCCGGTGCGACGAATAAAACTAGAACTACGCGTTCTCAGCGCCAACTAGAGAAAATATCGCAAGACTTTTTTGACAACCTAATATATTTAAACATCATTCCAAAAATTTTTGGATACCAAATCTTTGATATTCTGCCTTTGGGAAGCAATTACCCGATGCATCTCCCATGTGCATTTGTCGGACGGTGGGCAGGATGCAGGTCGCCATTTCTATCGGAAACCAAAAATTCAAAGAGATTCACATTTTTTAATAATTTATCTTCTAGTTAAACTAAAAATATTCCAAAAAAAAATGTGTAAAAATTTAGAAATTTTGTAAAAAATGAAAAAAATGGGCTTAACCAAAAAAAAAATTTACTTATGCTGTTTAAAAAAAATTTCAAACTTCACTTAGTTTTTTTAGTTTAAATAGAAGATAATTTAATGCCAAAGATAATAAACTTTGCAATTTCATACGACGTTTAGTTTTTTTTTTTTCTATCCTGCCTGCCAGTTAAGAAAAATCGTAAAACTAAAAATCCGAGAAATCGAGCGTCAAAGCTTTCGCTTTCTGCCCGAGCGCTAATAAATATACATGCTAAACGCGATTATTTTGAAAGAGATTCAAGCAAAAAAAAAAGAGTTTCTTGAAGCTTCTAAAGTAGGCTCCCCCCTTAATCTTCTTAAGGTTCGTGAAATCATTCGACACTAAGAAGTTATATTGGAATGCCGTTTTTAAGACCATTCCTGGCTACTCGCTTCAGTTTCTTGTAAATATGATATTATTTAATGTCCAAAAGTTGTTTGTTTTTTTTTTCATTTTTTAGTTAAACAAACTATTATTTAGAGAGTAATGGACTAAATATCAGTAACCAAATTGTGGCATTCGCTCATTTGAGAGTTTATAGAGTGTAGTGTATTATATTAGATATTATATTTCATTATCTATAACAGAAACATTTATTTCTTCTGTGGTCTAAAAGTGTGGGTGTGTTTTTGAAGCTTTCATCAAAATATATACATACATAGATTGTTGAAAGGCGGAGGATGGAGTCATGTGTAGAAGTTCACGCAAGTGAGGAAAGTTTTCTGATCGCCATTCACGTGGGAGTGGCCAGAAACGATTCTTTTACATATGACTCAAGCAGCTCACGACTTCCGGTCTTTGACCAAGTATCCTCTGGGTAGCCTAA